GCAAACATAGTAGTAGCCTTTACGAGACAATAACTTAGTATATACAAAATTGCATATAAATTTTGTCGATCAGGAAATAGAAGTAAAAGATGTAAGATAGTATATATTGTACATGTATAATAAAGAGTGACGATCTTGGTAAAACGCAAGAAGAAGAAGAAGAAGAAGAAGAAGAAGAAGAAGAAATAGAAGAAAGATCGTTGCGTCAGCATCATTCACGAGACTATTATACGATCGTAGGGCAATCTTCGTGTTCGCGAAGACGTATCGACGAAAGATAGATAGAAAAAGATAGATGAAGGGAAACAGAAAGAGAAAGAGAATAAGCCATTTCAGCGGTTTTACGTAGTATCGCGTAATGTGCAAAACCTCGGCACTCAGAGAGGTTGGCCGCCATTTTCGTGGTTGAAGAGCCGCGGCGACCCATAAATCCGTCGTCCTGCACCGGTGAGCTCTACCTGTGGGGGGTTTATAGCTAATAAACGCAAATACCTAGCCCATAGTCGTTCGTCCTACTTATGCGGAATACATAAAATATTGGATACGCATTAACTATCAAAAGCGATACCCGCTACGAAATAACACAGACGAAGTAGGAAGAGTAGAAACACGGTAGAACCATTTTAATACCGTAGTACCTTTTCGATCTCCTACTATCTATCTTTCCGCCATTGTCAATGTGTATTTTAATGTGAGAAAATTACGAGACAGAACAATGCCGAACTTCGGGGATTTTAACGACGTATCTTTGTCTTCCGTTATTTCATTTCTCTTTGTTATGTTTGTTATACAATAGATCAATGATCTATTATTTTTCTTCATTCTTTTTCTAAATTTTAATTTATTTCCAACGGCTTTGACTAATGACTTTTATACAACAGGACATTTATATTATTAGATAGTTAAATATAAAACTTTAGATTATTTTGATTAATTTCGATTAGAATTCGGAGAAATTTATACTTACTGATTTAATAATTTCAACGTATAATACTTTTACGATCGTATTATTTATAAGGAATAAAAAGTATTGCTTATCATTGTCAAGATATACATCGACTGATTTATATCGATGTATCCCCACCGTTGATCATAAATATTTTATTAAACGATCTGATAACACTCGTAATGCGATATTTGTGTTAGATATGTTAGAAGATTAAAAGAAATATGCGAGAAGAAAGATTTCAAATCCAAAGTTTAACTTTCTTAAAGTTTTCTTACAATACGATGAGGTTTCGTGATATATCGAAAAAAAGAAAGAAAGAAAGAAAAAATTCGTAAAGTTTACTATCCAGCAAAACTCATTCGAAGAACACATAAAAAGAGTTGCGTGCCTGCGTGCTATCTTTTGCTTTTCCTTTCGTTTTGTTTTTTTTTTCTTTTTCTTCTTCTTCTTCTTTTTCTTCTTCTTCTTCTTCTCCTTTACGTTATACCTCGATCCTTGTCTTCGAAAGCTTTTCTTTGCAACTATTAAGGACCATCAAGGTGCCAGCGATAATACGCTACGGTATCTCGCAATAATGGCGTGCTAAGGGTCGTAACTACGAAGTCGCCGCCGTCTACTGCTGGAACAAAGACTCGTCCGAGAAAAAGTGTATCGTTAGAGAAATTAAGTAATTAACGGCACGAGTAAGAAGCGAGAACGCGTACTTTACTACTCGTGTGTATATAAAATGAAAAATGGTGGGAATATAATAGGTCGGAAATGATCAGATGATAATGAAAAAAGAAGAGAAAATAACTCCTATTTATTTCTTGCCTCTAACCCCACCCCCTCACCCCTTCCCCACTCTTCTTCCTTCGTTCCCATACCGCTTATAATAATAGTATATACAAAACTGTCGAGAACTAACAAAGCAGAATTAAATTTACGATATTTCAAGCAACCCATCCAATTTATAGAACGTAATAGTTATACAATTATTTAGTAAGGACAATTTGATTCAATGGATAAATTAAACGAATCATGCGAGATAAGGCTTATTGACGAACTAAATGAATTCGTTAAACGGATCACAATTATCTAGATCTCATGACTACTTTTTTTCTTAATCTAAAATTTCAAAGTAACGAAATAATACGATATTGATCAAATCGTAGTACCGAATCAATGAAAAACAAAAAAAGAAAATAGATTGATTAAACAAATATCTTGTTAAAATGTATTTACTACGATTCTTGAGATCGTTGAATGTGTATATTCGTCTATATAATGTAAAAGAATAAGGAGGAAATGCGAAAGCCACGAAGGGAGGAAAATACGTGCGCAAGAAATTTCGGAACAAGGTACGTACAAGTGTGTTACGTCTCATGAGAGTATGGCACGTGGGGGAAAGGGAGTGTATGTCGTGGCGCATGAAACCCACTGGTATGGAAGGAAAAATAATATATAACGAGCTCGGGGTAGGAAGTGAAAGGAGGAACGAATGAACGAACGTGAGAGAAAAAAGTGTGCATGTATGTGTATCTGTGTGTGTGTGAGAAAGAAAGAAAGAGGGAGAGAGAGAGAGAGAGATAGAGAGAGAGAGAGATAGAGAGAGAGAGAGAGAGATAGAGAGAGAGAGAGAGAGAGAGAGAGATAAAAATAAAAGAAGTTAGAAAAAAGTACGAGGGACCAAATCGTGAGAGAGAAATCAAGGAGAAAAGTAAACCGAAAACTAAATCGTCGGAGAAATCGAACAGAAATACGAAGAAATCACGATTTTTCGACGCTTTTACAATTTTATCTTGTGAATCATCTCTCTTCTCAATCTCTTTTTCTCATATCGTCAGTTTTTCTCCATTTTATCTTTGTGTTTTCCCAAAACACATCGTCCTTTTATTTTTTCATCTTTATTATTCCTTTCTCATCTTCAAATAAATATTGATTTAATTTGATTAAATTCGCGTGGTCAAATGTCGTGTAAGAAATGTTCTTAAAAAAAAAAAAAAATGTTATTAACGTCAATATGCAATAATTTTAATTTTTACGCGTTGATATAGGACAGTCAAAAAGAGGCAAACTGGAACTTTTTTAGGTGGCAAGTTAACAAATTGATCAAAGCAATTCCTGGCAAGTCAGGAAAAGCTAGCAATTCCTGATAGGTCAGGAAACATTTGTACATACGTTTTTTAATTTGAACAAACGTGTTACAAATTAATGTTAAAAATTCACAAGAATTGTAGTTTTTTAAGTAAAATTAATTCGGAAAAGATCTTTTTCTTACCTCTCGGATGATTTTGCAGCCTCTGACAACACCGATTTGCGAGAACAGCGCACACAACAAATCTTCAGAAACACTGTGGTCCAGATTACCGACGTACCTGATTCAATGAGACAAAAAAATAATGCGGGATATGTGTATACGAATTATTAAATATTTTTATTACTTGTTTTCTCTTTCGAAAAAGAAGATGGAATGAATCAAAAAAAAAAAACAAAAAGAAGAAAGGGTCTAGCCAAAGAATGTAGAAACTTAACTTGAAATTCGAATTAGATCGCCAATTCTTGATAAGATGTGATTGCAAAATTGGCTATCTCTCTCGTAGTTTTATTCTACGAATTACCGAAAGATAATGAATATATTTGAAAGATGCCTTTTTTCTTTAACGTGATTATTATTTCTTAGTTATTATTAATTAAAGTCAAAGTTAATTCGAGATAAACTTTAAAACGTGAGTATCGTAATCTAGATCGATAGATGCGATAGATAGACAGATAGTAACGTATTACTACGTGCCAAAAAGCCACATGTGTCATTGGCGAATTAGAGCAGAAATAGGCAAAGCTTCAAATTTCTGAAAAGCCGTATAGGAATACGCATAGATCGGTGTAGCAGCGCATCGTGTAATAAATTTTCGAAGTTGATGCTGATTTTCGATTTTGGTAATGGAGAGAGGAGTTACGATGGGAATCGTTGAAAAGTGGTGTGTAGAGAAGAGAAGAAAGGGGTAGAGAAAACAATAACATAATGCGTGTGCCACGGTTACGATTGAACCAGTGCGCAAGAATAGAATGGTAGTAAATGTCAACAGACCTAAACGTAAACTCTCTCGATTCTCGTAAAACATTTTATATCCTTTAAATGAATGATTATTCATTTCATGGGAATAGAAAGATAATAAACGTAATTGAAACACTTACTATTAAAAATTATCCAACGGGTCGCGCGCGCGATTATCGTAATTGAAAGAAATTGAGGATAATATTTCATATTCGTTCTTTTTTCTCTTTCTAATTTTTTCCTTTTGTACACCAATCATCTTACGTTAGAATTATTTACGAGACTAATTCTAAGATCGTATAAACGATTTATGTATGGGTTCATATGTATATGCATCTACCGATCCGATCTTTTCACGATCGGAAAAAGACCAATGAGATTACTCACAGAGTCTTCGGTGGAATTTCGTCCATCGTGATGAGCCCACAACGAGTAGTCAAACTATCGCAAAACACTGGCAATCATGGCAGCTTTTTCGAAGCTCTTTGCCAATCGTACATAAAGTTATTTTATTTTAAATACACCTTTATGTGCACACTCTGTCTAAAACCGTAGAGGACTTTGAGTGCATAATAGTTTTCGATAGGTAACGAAAAAGAGATAGAGAAAGAGAGAGATGGAAAGAAGAGAATGATGAAGAGAAGGAAGAGTAAGGAGGGAAAAAGCTTATAAGCTCCTCCTGGCGCTTGCGTAGCTCATGTGCAAGTTAAACAAGACTTGGCGAACGTTTCCTATCGAAGAGATTCGATTTCTAAGCTGTGCTCGATTGTTTGTTATGTTTGCTGAACGAATAGGTGTCTAAGCGAATCTTCTTCCGAGACTTCGAGATTAAAATTAATTAAAGCTCCACCTACATATATAAATAGTTAAACTATTATACAATATTAATGTCAAGGACGTACAAAATAGTAGCCAATAAGGCGATGATACTTATCAGGTGATGTATTTTTATTAAATCTCACAAGTAACTTATCAGGGAAAAGATTAAAGAATTTTCGACAAAATTCTGTCGGATTTTATTGACTCTGTATATTAAATTGTAGATATATAAAAATATATTGATATCGTTAAGATATATCGTCGTGTCGTCTTATGAAAAGAAAGAAAGCGAATAAAGGAATAGAAAAGTATAGTTTGAGGGTAACACATCGTCACGGGTAACCGCTATAAATAATTCGCGAGTAGGTATCGTAAATGTCAGGGAGTTTTTCCAAGGTGTAAATCACTCTCACCGAAACTCGTTCTAAAATTTCACCCCCATTCCCTACCCTCTTTCTTTTTTGTTTTCTTTTTCTTTATTTCTTTCCTGTCTCATTGTTATCCCCAACATCGTAGCATAAACGTCTGTCTCGCGGTACTCTCCGAGTATTCTCACACGGTGAAAAGGAAAACGTGGCCGTGCATCATATGCAAAGTATAGTACATCGTCAAGTTGCTTTATACTACGAAACAGTGTTGACACAGGCGGATGTGTATGAAAATGGTATTCATAATTCATCGCGCGGCGGTATCACTTTCGCCGAGGATATTTTAAGCACGGCGTATATGTGGTTGTACATTTCTGAATTCTGATTTCTTCGTTCCGATAATTCCTACAAGTGACACAAATATTTTCTTTATTTCATTTAAATCGCCTAGATGAATCTGTCATATTGTACAATTTTTGGAGAAGAAAAATTTGAATAAAAAAAGAAAAGAAAGAAACTGAGAGTCGAAAATACAAAATATAAATGATTCGTGACGATAAATGTATTTATATTCGTGTGTATGGTACAGCAAGCACCAACGTACCAAGGTACCAACGCGAGCAACGTTAAGTTGCATGTGCGAAAACGTTGCCTTTCGGTGCTTCGTAAAAGTAACGGCAGCTATGAAACACCGCGAAAAACTTCGTTTTGCGAGAGACGATAAATCATCTTGAAATTCGCCTTAGTTGACAGGCATGTAGTTTTACGAGGATCTGCACGCAAAATGCAAAACAGTCCTTGTACCTGGTAGGCTTGCACTGCAATTAATTAGCGTTTCGTGATAGCCGTGCATGTATCGAAACCTTCCTTGGTTTTTTTATTTTTTATGCGATGTAACTAAACCGAGTCGCCACGATAAGCTGATGGCACTTCAATGATTCGATCAAAAAATATATAGCATATAATAATAGATGCACGATGGTGTTCTATCTATTAATTGTGATATGAGGAGTGCATATGATGAAAGATAAATGTATAAAAGAATACAGTAATTTATTAAAAGACTTAATTGAATTCGAACACGCGATAAGTTCAATTAGAATTGAACTTATAACCGATCGCAGAGCATAATTTTAAAAATTTGTAATTTATGGTAATTAGATTAATTTAATGTACATTTATGAATCTTATTAATATATAGAACAACGTTTTATCTCTTATCCTCATTATACCCTTTTCGTTGCAAACTTCTTTTTCAACATTCATCCAAACACACACACAGACAATCATATCTCTCTTTAATCACAAATTCAACGTCTATGCATTGAAAAATTTCTCTATGCGAAAGCCTAATTCAAATAGTCGTGATATCTTATATATAATTCGCAGGCATGAACATTATGTTATTCAATCTGATTCTAAAAATATAACATTAATCTGATGATTTTTTAGGACACGCTTATTATTAGATTGATTATCGATACGTTACGTTGATGATCACTTTCAATGTTTCATTTTCGATGCTGAATTTTTTATCAGTGACGGATATAACGTCAATATTGTCTACGCGTATAATAATTCCTAAATTCGTTTATCTAACGTCATATAAAGAATTTATTGTTTGGGTTCAATAAAATATCTCGAAATACGATAACTTGGGGTTAATCACGATTTCCTCACAAAACCAGTTCTAGGGGGTGGTCCAATGGATTTGTTGGATATTATAGGATCCATGCTTGTTACAGGTACTGAAGTATCGCTTTTAAAAGAACTGGAAATTGACGGAGATGAAGATAGCGATGGTCGTTCAATAGTCAAAGTTTGTTGAGGCAATTTTGCGTCAGTTTGTATACCCATCGATCCATAAATCTCTTTCAATATCATCAATATGGTATCTTCAGATTCCCTAAAGTGAAAAGAACAATGGCGGTAAGAAATATTCTTAAGATAGTATTTTAAAAAGCAATCGACGTATTTCTATACTAACCAATAACAAACATGACTTGTTAAAGCAAAAATATATTCGTTGATATATTCAAACGGTGCCTCTTGAAGAACGTAATCTATTCGTCGACCACCGTTCAAGTTTCCCATTTTAATATCAGCGCCACCATCGTCGTTACTCGGTTGTTCTGACTCACTCGGTATTTGCTGTAATTGTTTCTCGACGACTCTATCAATCTCTTGCTCGAGAACATTATCTGATTTATGAAAGGCAAACTGATAGATAGAATTCCATGTATTACTAACGGAATCAATAAATTTCTGTTTAAGATCAGCTCCCACTCGTGCCATCGTTTCTTTCAATTCTAAAAACCAATGATTTTATTAGTTCGATTTAATTCACAGTATATCATTGTGTATTATAATTTTTACTTAAAAAAATGTTATTATCACTTACCTAGATGCATTCTCTTCCTGCCTTTATGATGAGGTATTAACATCGGCCGATATTTATGAGCTTCTGGATTAATAAGAGATTCCACTCTATAGGCAACCGGGTCAAATGGATGGAATATATGAAAGAAAGCTGGACAAGTAGGTAAGGCGAAGTTCTCTCCAAGCGTATCAATACCCCGAACCGTTACGAACATACCGATTGGACTACCAAAAGCGAAAAAGGCACGTGGGTGAAAATTTATTTGGGGATAATTTACAAAAGGTTGTCCAGTTCCAGCAGCACCTATCATATAATTGATTTTCTTACTGAGACGTCTTTTTAAAGTCGGACCTTCCAATGATTGTATAGGACCCAAATTTCCATTTTCCTACATAGAAAAAAATGAATGACATTAAGATTTTATAAATCGTTAACTTGGCATCATCGGTAAAATTTACATTTTTGGCGTTAATTTCACTGTCTTCTTCTTCTTCTTTCTCCTCTGTCGCCGGAGGTTTTTGATGACATAATAAATCGAACATTATCAGACTACCCAAAGAATGACCACCCAAATAAATTCCTCCATCAAAATCTGGATTCCTCTCCTTGAATAAGGTGTATAATCTGTTCATCTCATTTCCAACCGTTTGCATGATCGTTTCACAATATATCGGACTAGTGTAAAAAAGTACGTCGAGCAAAGTATCGTTTGTAAAATGTCGTAACTTTGGTATGCTCTCTAAAGTAATGGCCTTTAATTTTTTATCAATCCCAGTATCGGAATGTAACGTTGTGTGCCATGAAATTGGTAAAACTTCTATTCTATTGACGATTCCTTGTTCACTGGCGGTATTATAATGTGACTGTACTAATTGCAATGATATACTCCGAAATTCATCAACTGGAATTAAAAATAAAATCAATGTAGAATTGATACTATTTGACTAATTAACAGATTTATTTGTTTTTAATACCTACCAACTTCTTCAACGGTTCTAAATTTCAAGTCACAAACACTTCCTATACCATGAACCACGAAAAGAAGATGATCGATTTTTTCTGGCTCACCTTTATCTATATTAAAATCAACGACACCTCTTTTAACCATTCGTTGCTTAGTACATCCACCCTGTAAATATGTACCGTCCTCTGAATCCTGCAGAAATTACGAGTAAATACGTCAAACAAAACCATGCGTGCGTTATTATTTAACACTAAAATAATACAAATAAAATTTTATGAATGCAATAATTAACACTAGGAAAAGAACAATATAATGATATTGCAGAAGCTTGTAAAATAATGTTATGTTTGGAAATATAATAACTATAATAATAATAGTAATAATAAAAATAAATGTTCGTGTACAAGCAAAGTAGCGACATGTATACGCACATATAGTAATGTACAATAAATAACAATCTAAATGGTTTTTTGAGAGAAAATTATAGTGTATATAAAAATAAAATAAAGAAAATGAAAAAATACATACAGTGGGGTTAGACCAAGAGGCACTCGCATCTGAAGAATTTGTTTGTAAATAATGAACATATACAGTTTCACTATGAAAAATAATATATTCTCCATTATTCAGATCTATTCGGCGATTCCAAGATGACGTAATACAAGCATGCTTAAATTCTTCTTCGAGTTTCACGGCTATGCTCTCATCGTAAGGGATATATTTGGACTCTGAATGTCCTTTATAAAACCAAGAACATCGTCTCACTTCTGTCGAAGGTCCTGACCAATAAACAGGAGATCTTTGACGTCTGAGAATATCTACATCATAGCGACCACCATCGGTAGCTACTGTAGTCTCCGTAGTTATCTCACTAGAATTATGTACATTTTCTAATCGTAAGCTATCCTCTGTGGAAAATGGAAGCCATAGTACTTTATTTTCCACCTCCTTACGATAGAACCAGTGATGATTTATTACTTTGTACTGCATTCGTCCGGTTGGAACACCAGCAGCCTGTAATCCAATATAATTATAAACATAAGTAAGGTTCTTCGTTTCTATTTTTATAAAAGAAATTAATAATTTACCAAGGTTTGAAAACTCTGAGGTATACTGTCTGGTGTCGTATGACCACTGAATGGACTTGCCGATAATTGAATTGGATTAAGAGTAGCAGAACCTGTAGGCTCGGGTACAGCTGTTGCCATGGGAATTGAACGTTGTGCATATATAAAATCGTTATCAGGAACAATGTTTCGTGATTCTTCCAATTTCGAAGATTGAGCAATAAACGTGTGCGTTTGACTATTAAATATAGAATTGGTCGTTGGTACATATATACTTGCAGGATATTGATATTTGTAAGCCTCACCCATTAACTGGGCAGGATTATAAAATTGAGGAGGTTGTGGAGCTTGATCGTTGTGTGTTGAATCGTTATTCTGTATTTGGATATTTTTATTAGTGTTCCAAATTGATTGAGGAATTGCGAGTGCAGTATTTGTAGAATGTTGATTAAAGGAAGGATATTCTTCTTTCTTATGTAATTCAATATTTGAGACTTGATTAAGGTTTGTATCAATATCAGTTTGCTGAGGATGAAACAAAAAATAATTCGTTTTATTCTCAACTGGCTCGATAAATGTGTTCGAAGAAAAATCAACGAATGTAGAGTTTAATCTGGATTCTTCTTGAATTGATCTTGGGTTTAAATTTATTGCTGTTTCCGTTGTTTTTTTGTCCAAAGGTAAAATAGGCAATGCTTGCGTCTGATTAGATTGTTGTAGAGGAGCCAAATTTAATTGGTTAGTTTGAGTATCGAATGTAATACCTTGTATTTTCTTTAAATCTTGGGGATCACTGAGTAAGTCCGTATTATCATAGGAGTTTTGATTCAAAGGTACGTCGGATAAAGAATCACTTTTGGACAAGTCAGCGTTCGATGGTTCGTCGTTCGATTTTATTTTATTTGACTCCTCATTCGATTCACCGGACGGTTGAAGTATACTTTCAAAATTAAGAGTCTTTATTTCATTTCCATTTTGTGGCGTGATATTGATTACTTCGGAAGAAAAATCCGACGAAGTACCGGATGGTGATTCCTCCTTTTGCTCAGCCAAGAAATGTTCTAATTTTTCTGTCACTTTAGCTGCTGAGATAGGTCTGAACGTGCGAACTACTGGAGACACAAGCGACTGTGTTTTTGAAACATTCAAAGTAGGATTGGACGATTCCTGCTTAAAAATATCCTGGCTGTGAGTGTATTGATTGTCCGTGACTTCTTGTTCTTTTTCACTATAAGACGCAGATCCAAATCGCATCAAAAAATCCGGCTGATTCGCAAAAAAACCAAAAGAAGAGGAAACGTTTGCCGGAGTGTTTTGAGGGGTAGCGGGATCTAGATTTCGCGGAGGTATCGATCTCGATGAAGAAACCGAATATCCGGATGGACCAGTTGTTAAAGAAATTTCACCAAAAGAACTTTGAGAAGTTACGTTGGAATTGGAGAAAGCTCCTATCGTCGAAGGACTGGACCTAAACGATCCATGAAGGGATGTACTTTGTGAACGTTGTTCAGGTGTCACAAATTGTTCTGAAGGGGAGATTACAGATGTTTGTGATAGTTCAGGGCTACTGTTTGATATTTGTTGTTCAATGGTTGCTGTATTTGGATTTAATATACTTGACGGTGCTAGTACGTTTGAAGAAGAGAAAAAATCTTGTACAGATGGATTCGGATATTGTTTCGCAGTATTCGATGTTAAGTCAGGCGGTGGAGCATATTTCAAACGTCGCTGATTACCAAGTCGATAAGAAACCGGACCTGAAAAAAAATGTACGATTGATGAATTAATTTAAAACCAGTTTTAAATTAATACAGCATGTAAGTAAAATAGTTGAACTTGAAACTTACCTGTTGAGATTGGTATAATCGGGGGAAGAGTTGGTTGCGGAGGAGCAATAAAAGTAGTCGCTCTTAAATTAGCCTCACCAGATCCTGATTGGTTTACATCGTAAGGATCGTGAGGATTAGTCGATAAGAATGACGACGTTTCCGGTAATGAACCATTGCGACTTTGAGGTACACTGTAAGGATTTATATCTTGTTTGCCAGTAGTGACTTCGACTCCTTGACTTCCCGAAGAATCAGCTTTGATCGAGGACAGGGACAAGTTTGGTAAAGACGATAGAATCGACGTGAAGTAACTTTGTTTCGTTGGCTGATTTGTCAGCAGATTTGACTCCTCTGAATTAACAGATGTGTTCGCCAATAAATTCTCACCTTCTAACTCGTTATTCGAAACTGTCTGACTAACTGACGAATTCTGAGATTGACTGGACTCTTGTCCCACGAAGTTGTCTAGTTCAGCATCTGACAAAAATAAAACAAAAAATTAACGTCATATTTTACTATCTATTTTCATTAAAGTAAAATCATCACTTTGCTCAATAAAATGATTTATCTACTTTCGATTTACATACATAACTTATGATTTACCAAACGAATTTTTTAAAGCATTCGTTAGGATTGTATAAAGTTTGCCATCATTTTGTCACGAATTGATATATTTTTTATTGGCATCAGCCTAAATATACATCTGCGATTGGATTCTTGGATACGTTATTCACGTATTGTCAATATTGAACAGGATACAATGAGCGTAAGTTACCAATGTAACAAAGATAATTCTTTGTCAAAAGATAGGCTAGATTTTTTTCATTTTCACTTTCCTTTTCTGTATCATCCTGTCATGAACGAAAGAACTGTTTCATAGACACATAAATCTTGCATAAACCTACACGAACATATAAATTTGACGTCATCGACTTTAAGGACACCAGAAGGAAAAAAGAATTCCGGATAATTGTGCAATTATCTTCTCGTCTACACCCAGATTTACTTTTACGTATATATATACCTTATCGCAAACGTAACGAGAAAATTTTTTACTCTTTCGTAAACGAACAAAAGTGAGACTTTATAAGCAAGTCTTTCAATTTTTACGAAGAGAGTCTTTCGTCCAACTCATTAGTGAGAAGTCATATCGATGGAATCAATAATTGGTAATAAAATTTTATTTATAGTTTTATTATTACATAATTACAGTGTCAATGGAATTCTCGGAGAAGTAATTTTAATCGATAAAAAAGTGGCGATAAAAAATGGTGAAATCGAAAAAAAAATTATTCCTCGAGATATTTATCAATGGAAACCATTGGATATCGAAATCGAAACTCCTTGGGAAAACAGGACTACAATCGGTATTTTTAAGGACACGGGTTGTGTAATTCAAAAAAGATTATTATCTCTTGAAGAAAATCAAAATTTTAGGTATTTGTAATATTCGTACCTAAATAATAAATATTGAAAATGTATAAAAAATATAATTTGTTATTATATATCTATAATATATACGTTTCCAAAGGTACTGCTTGAAAAATAAGCTACTCCATGTCAAGAAAGAAAAAGATTTTTTTCTGCGTATTAATCTTATCAATAAATCCACGAAATTTGTCGAGGAAACAATGGGTAAGACTTCTAATTAGTTCAACGATACGCTTTGAAACATTCGAAACAAATAATTCGAGAAAAAATCGATGAATGCATGCATTGACGCAATTATCATTACAACGATAGTTGATATTATTAATTTGTTTTTGTAAAGAAAATTCAACGAAATGAATGACGTGATTAAGATTTATCGAAAACATATTCGTTGTTATTTCTCTTATCAATATCGTAACTGTAACGAAAGGAATTACGATAAGAAATTTTGCAAGTGCAAAATAATTTTTCCGTGGTACATACATTTAAAATAAACAATAATTTGATAATTTGTTAAAGTATAAATTATTACAAACAAAAAGAATTAGTGCATTGTTCATATAAATCATATATTTATGTACGTCTGTATTGTAACGTGATAACTTCTATTTATAAAACTTTAGAAAAATTATCCAAAGGAAGTGAAATAAACAAAGCTGAAAGAAATGAAAACATTATCAGTAAAAATTGCAGGGTAAGTGACATCTTTCAGATTAACAGGATTGACCAACATCCGTAAACTCATAGAATGTATTTTCAGATTCGACTTGACCTATACTGCGATAACGTGGAGAACAATGAGACTTTTAATTATCGAAAGCGGCTTTTTCACCCAGTAGAAATTGATAAACACAATGACGATGCGGATTTAACGTATGTGAGTAGTATATTTATTTATATACAATGTATGATGCATCGTATTACGTAATTAAAAAATAATTTGTCCTTGCTTGAATATTTATATTTTATTTTTAGAAAAATTCTATTCAAAGAATCAACTCTAGTGGTTTTGAGAAAATCAAATTTGACGTTAATGAATCGACGATCGAAATCCGTATCGTAGTGAGTGGAAATTTATCCAGCATTAGTATTGAAATACCAATTGGTAAGATTTAATATTATTTTAATTATAATTTCAAATGTTAAAAAAAAAAACGCGACAAGCAATTATAGTTATTTATTACATTAGATGGTTAGATGATTCGATAGCTAAGCTTCATCTGTAAAACACGTGTTAAGTTCTAACGTAATGTAATCGTTTCCATCGTAACACAAAAATAACCAATGACGTTAACAAAATAAGAAGACTCGTGATTTTAATAAACTATACTCGCTTTACTTGCCAATTCGTATTGTTCACCAAAACACCATCATGCGATTTCGGACGGAAATAATAAAGAAAATCCGACGAGGAAACCGAAAATAGCCTCCGGCTATAAATAATAATCATACGTTAACAAGCATATCAAGGTCTACGTTGTTTGTTTAAAATTTCCTTATTAATTATACCAGCATATTATTATAGAAAATATAAAAAATTGAACAAGAAATTTCTACGTAAATAATAAAAACCATTGTTAACATATATAATTGTCGCGATTAGTTAAAAATTGAAGGAAGTAAACCCATTTTCTTTTCATTCGTGACATCATAATCTCGTTAGTTGTAAAAAAAAAAATACTCTATCGAAATTCAAGCCGATGGAACACGAGGAAACCGATGATTGCCTTGGCCGAAACCACGCAACGGTTTCCACTTTCGTGGTTGACCTCGTGCTGCAACCTCGCGCTAAAGTTGAGAGACGATATCGACCAGTAACATGTCTGTTTTGTATCGTTTCGCACAATTCACCCTTTCTTTACGTCATCACTTTCACCAGTACCATCATCATCGTCATCATCATTATAATCATCTCCGTGAATAACACAAACACTGACATCACTTTGTTATCACTATAGATAAATAAATACTCAATAAACTTTATTTAATTTTTCGTCTTGTGTTATCAAACATAACTAATATTATTCTATTTTTTTTTTGTTTACTTACATCCTAAACGCAATTTCGTAAAATACTGACCATCAAAAATTACATTCGTATTAACAAATTCAGCATCGTGATTTTTTTCGAGTCGATCGTTCATTAGTTTGACTTTTAATAACAGACAGTAAGTGGTATAATACTGAGCCAACAACGTTATCGTTGGCACGAAGAGACAATTCAGGAGGGTTGGAAATTGTGGCGCTGAATGCTCCACCGGGTGGTTGGCTCTTGAAACTCATTGGGGAGGGAGCTTCAAAGTATTCATTTCTCGTGGAAAGAAAAAAGATTCGAAGAAGAAATATTAATAAAAACAATTCTAAGCTCGATGAAGATTATACGATGAGATTTCACAATGATACCGGTAATTGTTTTCTATTTATTTTCTATTTATTTCTATTCTATTTTTGCAATAAGCTATATTCATTTAATATTCAAAAGAATAGAGAAGGAAAGAAACATATGTAAATGTAATCGATCTAGTTGCGAGATCGGTGATTCGTCCACGTCTCGTCAGTCAGATAATCTCGTTACCAGAATACAATGATACCTTTTGTTATCACATTCGCGTGTCTAATTTAAAAATATGATATTGATGAAAATATTATCGATAAATATAAAGTTGTTTAAAAGTGTCTACCTCTGTAATTGTAAATAATTTGAACTAAAATTATTATAAAAAGTTTAGAAAACAAAAGATCAAATGATTTTTCCAATTATTGAAGAACTTTTTATTCGCGTCTTGTATTTAAATACTTTTATTTGAAGAATATTACGGTATTGTATTGAAAAAGATCTCGAAAAAAAAGGCAATATTGACCAAACGTTGATAAGTTTATCTCGTTATACGAAAATATATGTATAAAAAAAAAAAAGAAAAAAAAGAGGAAAATAAAAAATGCATATTACATTGATTTACGAGCGAAACGTTACAAAAATTGATAACTCGAATAGAACGCATAAATTCAACGAATGCATAATACATGTGTATTACTTACATAAAAGTTTGACCGTGGTAGCTCGCGCTTGTGTTCTTTGTAACGCTACGGGAATCGACTGACAACTGGCAAGGCTTTGGCTTCTAGTTTGCGAGATACGGTTAAAATTGTGCAACAACGCGAACTCGAATACGACGATGCGGCGAGGTGCCCTTTGGCCGCTACTAGCATGGACCTGACGCATGATGTCTCTTTCTTTCTTTCTTTTTATCTGTCTCTCTTACTCTCTTATTATTGTTTCTTACTCTTTCCTTAGCTTCCTCTTTCTTCTCTAATTGTTTTTTATTATTCAAGGAAAAATCAGACTTAAATGTCTATTTTTTGTTTTAAATTTTATCAACAGACTCGAATTATAGGAATTACGAAGAAAATCAACAAGGATTCGGCAACGTTGAAACTTTCGATGAACTTTCTCAGGTATACAAAAAAAAAATAATAATAAACGTTTAAAATGACAGAATAATTAATTATTATTTTAGAATAGCCAAGAAATTGTTCTCAACGATGAATCGTCAGAATTTGTAGAAACTAGAGGTAAACGAAATGAGCCTGAAGTGGATGTGGAAAATTTGCATATTCCGTTATCATCGATTCAAATAGATGTACGATGATGATATATGAATATTGTAATAATTTAATTATAATCTTCAACCTCATAAATGTTAATTCATATAAATCTTATTTAGCAAGGTGAAAGGATTCGGTCTAGATCGTTAAGCAACCGATCAAGTAAAATTATTTTTAAGAATGATGATGTTCAAAAGGCGAATATTAACGTTTCGAGTATGATACAAAATATTAACACTCAAGAACTTTCAAATGAATTTGCAAGGCTCGGAAACGACGAGAAAGAAGAAAAGAGAAGGATCGTCGTGGAATTAAATCAGAATAGTAATCTTTTCGTAAGACCAGGAACGATACACAGGATAGCTTTTGATGTGACAAATAATCATTACCAAACAATCAGATGTGATTTTAAAGTTCGAAGTTTACCTCTGTTAGTTGTTAACGTTCAACCGATCTTGTAAGTCGTTCTGAATGAAACATTATATAATTTTCTTTTCTACGATTGTATCTAATTAAATTTAATTAATATAATTTATACTAGCACGTGGATTTATGCTGGTCGTACTATCAACGTGTTCGTCGACGTCGAAGTACCAAGAGGAACAAGGCAAGATGTTACTAATACTTTAACATTGTACGTACAGGGTTCAGAAATAACAGAAAAATCGGTCTACCTCTACGTCGAAGGCAACATTCCAAACGTAATGTTTTTGATATCGAATTTAATGTGTCAAGTCTTAATGTAAATAATATTATGTCGAGATAAATGTAATTTGATCGGAGTATCAATCGATTTATTTTCTTAGATCGTCGACGATACAAAGCCTGCCATCGAACACACGTTCAATAATAATTGTGCGGGCAAATTGAGTAAAGAAAAATGCACGAAATCTCGTTGGAGTGTTGACATCAGAATTCAAGATTCTGGATCTGGTAAGAAATTTCATAGAATTTCTTTGTAATACAATTGATCTATATTTAATTATATTTAATCGAAAACTTACAAATTTTGTGTTCAGGTCTGAAAAGTGTTAAATCATCTCCGAACGAAATGTATCCACGTACTGAATTTATAAGTGGCACTCGAGACCCAGTTACTTTTTATTATTCAGCTACTTGTTGCTCCACTCAGGCGAAGATTACAGCAATGGATTTAAGAAATAATTATAATACATATACCATAGAAGTTACAGGTAAACGGCTTGATTATAAAAATAATTACTATTATCGATAATCTCATAAGCAATCAATTATTTTCGATCTTTTACAAATTTCTTCGCGTTTTCACTCGTTGATTTTACATAATTAATACATTTTTAGTATATTAATTTTGTTTTTCCAGTTTGGGACAATTTATCCCAAGGAGAGATAGCTGCTATTACGGTCGGCGCATTGTTAATTCTTCTACTTTTAATTTTAATTATTGTACTTATCATTGTTTGTGTACGTAAAAGAAAAAGCCATGATTTACCATACACACAACGATACGGTTCACGAACACCTGCACGAGCAGAAAGAACTAGTTTTTGAATTTCTATTGTTAATCAAAGTTTACGTAACTCTACATTATGTAATACTAATTTCTTATTATTTATAGAAAAACACCAGAGTTACAATAGTTCTTCGATGAAACGAGAACTAAATTCATTTAAATTAAATAGACTTTTATATAATTAAGTCACTCCATATAATTAACTTTCAAAAATTAATCTAATTCTTATTTTTAAACGATATCTTTTTCTTCATACAGTAAAACTTTTTTCTAATAAGTCTACTTGTAAAATTAAATGACAAGAAAAAGTGATTAACAGAATAAAGATAAAAATCAGAATTTGTTCTAACGAACAAATGTAATGAGACTAATAATAGTAAATAAAAAGTATATGTGTACCTTTTTATGATTGACAAATTAATAAAAAAGAAACAATGATAAGTTATAACAATACATTGTAGTATTACATTCAATAAATACCTTTCAATAAATACAAACATAATGATCATATTAAATAATGTTTTTTATGTAAATTTATTGTTTCTCTTTCCGATGTTCATACCACAGAGTCTTATGAATTAATGATGCATATAATCTCATAATTTTCTATAAAAACAACACAAAACTTTACATAGAAACGTACTAGATTATTTAAATTCTTACATCATTGCTGTAATTTTCCAAGCATGTAAGATAACAAAAATCACATCAGGTATCTACCATACCGACCGCGTAACGCAGATTCCATGTAATATGGGAAGTGTTTCATATGTGACGGCAAAGTAAAGAAAAAAAATGAGTCATATGATCTAACAGTACAATTTATCTAAGAGAGTTGTTATCAATGTCAAATCTAGATACAAATATTGTTTTGCTTAATTATATTCATATACATAAAAAGAAAGCTAACCAAAATAATATTTAAGGTTTAAAAACAAACCGCACCCTTGCTTATATCATTTTATATATCTATAAACTTACCGTCTAGAAGAACAGCAGGTGTTGCAGGTGTAACTGGGACAAGGAGAGCATTTTCCGGATAATATTCAAAAGGTGATCCCATGCCAGCTGCTGAGAGCAATGGGTTTCTCACTTTACGCGAAGTACCACTCATATTACTTTTATTATTAAAAACAAATAACACGAACAATTGACCAAATTCCCATTACAATGCTCTATTAAATGATATAAACACTTTTTGTATGTAAAGATAGACACTACGATATCGAGAATACATTCACACTATGCAAACACATGTTCACGTCACGAACGAGCATAAAGTAACTTACGGTTCATCTTAAGATTATTATATAGAAGGGAAAAGTTAACTAATAAAACTGACTTTGAGAACCACTATGACTAAAGTGGAAAGTCAATGTACATTTCCTGAATGTACCGTGCTCCGTTGATAATAAAGAAATTTTAATTTTACAATTTTTATCTACTTCATTTTTTACAAAATTATGCTTATATAAATCAAATTTCTCAATAAATATAAATGATGTAATACTAACGTGGTATATACTTTTAGTTTATAATAATTCACATCGTTGAAATTTAAATCTTAATTTGAAATACTACCGTTAGGTGCGTCATGTCGTCGTTTGTATAGAGCGTCGTCGTTTTGTGAGTGTGTTTATAAATTTTGAATTGAATTGCAAAAAATGGGAGTAAAAGATCTTTGGAATATTTTATCACCCTTATGTGAAAGAAGACCGTTGTTTGAACTTCAAGGAAAAGTTATAGCAATCGATTTAAGTTGTTGGATAGTAGATAGTCAAAGCGTCACTGATAATTTTGCTCAACCGAAAATGTATCTTAGGTATGCACAACTTTATTTACTAATTTTACATTGAATATTTACTAATATAATTTATTATTGATAAAAATATTATATTACGTATTTTTGTATGTATTTTACTGAAAAAATTGTATTTTTAAAATTATATAAATAAGGTATATGGTATATTGGTATATGGTTAAGTTTATTAAAGTATAATGTATTTCTTTAAGATAGCAATTAAATTGTTTCTAGGAATCTATTTTTTCGTACTGCATTTCTTCTTACACAAGGAATAATACCAGTATTTGTATTAGAAGGAAAAGCACCAATATTGAAACATAAAACTATTGAAAAGAGAAATAATATTCGTGCTGGATTTCAGGAAAGAAAGACTGCAAAAAAAGGGGGAAGAACTAATTTTAATAGAATTCTTAACGAATGTAAAGAGCTTCTTAAATATATGGGTATAGCATGCGTGCAAGGTGAAGGTGAAGCTGAAGCTATGTGTGCTTATTTAAATGAAGATGGTGTAAGGGATTTTGTAATTAGTTTTTTTTATATATTTCTATAGACTAGACTGTTTATTGTATTTTATCTTTGTAGCTTGTGGACGGTTGTATAAGTCAGGATAGCGATTGTTTCTTATATGGGGCAAAAATTGTATATAGAAATTTTTGTATGAGCGCGCAAGGAAATAGATCTGGTACTGGTGGAGCTGTTGATGAGTATAGGATAGACAAAATAGAGAATATATTAAATTTAGGAAGAAATAAAATGATAGCGTTAGCTTTATTATGTGGCTGTGATTATAACGAAGGTGTAAATGGTGTTGGAAAAGAGGCAGCTCTTAAATTTTTTAAGACCATTAGTGATTCCTGTATTTTAGAAAGGTAAATATTATATTTCTGTGTTATGGTTAAAACGTTAATATTTGGCAAAGAATGTAATACTTTTTAGAATCAAAAGTTGGAGTACCGATACAAATTTTCAAAAAATGGAGGCAGAGTTATCAAATCCTAATTTATGCACATCGTGTGGTCACGCAGGAAAGTTACAAAAACATACAAAATCAGGTTGCATACAATGCGGTACTGTTATTAAATGCAAGGATACATATAAGTAAGGGATTCATTTGTATTCTTTTAATTATAATTCATCAGTAATTTAAAAACAAATTTATTATTTTATTATATTTAACAGAGAAGAAAGAGCACTTATATTAAATGAGATACAAATTAGGAAAAAATCTCTTCTTGTAGAGGATTTTCCAGATCAGGAACTTTTAGATGAATTTCTTATCAGAAAGGATTCTGTACCGTCAAAATTAGATTTAAGATGGAAACAACCGCAAATAGATAAATATATTGTAAGTGGTAATATAACTTGTATAAAAATGAGACTCCTAACGCTTGTATAAATATGTAATGGATAATTATTTCAGGATTTTGTTGATAAATATTTAACGTGGGAACCACAATATGCGTTTGAAAAAATTTTTCCTTTAGTAACAAGATGGCAACTTCGTTATCTTCCAAATATTTCTTCCGACATGCACTTATCTATAAATAATTTATTTATGCCTGAAAGAATAAAGAAAGTGCGGAATATAAAATCTATCGCTTGTTATGAAATTATATGGACAGATATTAGCGGTATAAGAGAAAAATTAAAAATGTATCACGATGTATCTGATAAGGAAAATAACGATGACGATTTTACAAATAACGAGCTTGTAACAATCGAACCACAAGATGCAGTTTTGAAATGTTATCCAGATTTAGTTGAATCTTTTGAAACAGAAAAGAATAAAAAGAAATCACAGAAAAAAACAGTCAATAAACGGCAAAGAAAGATAACTAAAGATCCAAATATTAATAATGTCGAAGAAGGTAAAACGAAAAAGCCTCAGAAAAGAAATAAGAAAAAGCTTACGGAATGTCCAAATAATAGAAAGATTGATGAGTTTGTCTTAAAAAATCAGCCTTTATCATTAGAAGAATCATTTGAGAGAATGAGTATTACACCGAAAAGGTCTAAACAGAGATGTGATTCTAATGCTATCACAAATGTTGATTGCAGTAATGCAATATATTTAAATGATAGTATTAAACGTCCACCACAAATGAGAAGAATATTAGAATTAGAAAAAACTAACGTAAAATTAAATAATACATTAGACAGAATGTTTATTGAGCTTTCGCCTGAAGATTTTACCAGCGAAAATGAAGATGCTGATCTGAATATAACAGGAGTAATAGACGGGATATGTAATACATATACTTTTCAATGCGAGCATGAAGATAATAAAGTTTTTGATGTGATTACAAATGATTTAGAAACCATAAATGTTTCAACGCAAGATCAAAATTTTATTAAAAATATAGATAGTATAAAATGCAATTCTATTGAATCTGATAATGATATATCAATCAGAAAAAACACAATGAATGATATTCATGATGAATTTGATAATATAGAATCTTATGTACCATTATATATAAGAATACAGAAGAGATGTAAAATAAATACTCCTAGGAAAAGTAAAAAGCATACGATTAGAACAAGTAAAAATTTGAATATATCAAGATGTAGTTTCGGTTTTGATGATATTATGAATGAAACAGATATAGAAAATGTGTAGATTTTGTATATACTTAGATTGACTAGAGTTGTACACAATTTTTATATGACATTATATATTTATTGTAATATTTTTTATATACCAATATATTTAATTTTTAATCATATCATATTATCTGTTTCACTCCCTTTTCCAGCACAATTTTGACTCATATATGTATTATATAAACGCATATTTTTTTATCTTTATATAATACTATAAATTATTTTTCTTTCAGTTGGAGATACATATAAATTGTTTCGATTATTTCATAAATTATATATTATTTGGATAAATTAAATTTTTTTTTAATATAATTATTTAATAAATTTTGAAATAAATTAGGAAGGCTTAACCGTTTTTGTACATAGCAAAAATAGCAATATTGACAATAATTCCTATATTTACCCATGGGTATAATCACGTCACGTTCAGTATTTGTAACAAACTTTCTAGCCAATAAATTCTCGTGAATAGAGTGAGTTTGGGGATACTAGTCTCAAATCGAATAAAGTTTACGAGCGATGTTACCATTTAAAATGTAAATTGTAAAATGAAATACGTGAAATACGTATGAATCGCACATAGATAATATATTTTAGATAAAGTTTAAAGGATTGATAAGTTCTTCTGTGTGACATAGAAATGAAATTTTTTTAACCAAATATAGTATTGTACATATAGTTTAATTATATTTTATTAAATTTTAAAAATTTCATTCTTTTATTAAAATTATTTTTAATATTAAAATATCGAGAAATAAAATTAATTAATTTCATTTGCAAAAAATTATATTAGAGTTACAATAGTAAGGAAACCCTTGTAATTTCTTTCCGATAATTAATTTGATATAAGTACGTTCGAAAAATTAGTTTCTTATATTCAATATTTTCAAGCTTTTCTTTGGTACTTCGTAGCACAAGTAAGCAATGTAAAATAAACCGAGTTTTAGTACGATCGAAGAAGAAAAGCTTGTATAAATCAATTTAATTGGATGGGAATAGAATTTTAACGAACACCGCAATCTTATCACGCCTCATTGCCGTATTGTGGAATCATCGTAATGGATTTGACTTGCATATTTTTTCAAATACAACAGCATCGATTTGATAACACGGTGACTGTATTAATTATCATTTAATTTTCTTTTAATTCTTTTATTTTATATTTCTAACTATTTAATTTTTTCACAATACAATGAGATACCAATGCAAATATCTATTTCTTCCAATGCAATTTAAATTTATATCAGAAAAAAAGTACGATTACATAAAAACGTAAAAAATTTATTAATACAAATTTTTTATCGTTATAAATAATAGATAACGCATTTAAATAATATAATAACGTTTAATTATTGTCGCAACTTAAACGTATTTCCTTTTGTTTCTGATGAAAGGCATTATAATATAAAATATTAATAATTCAAATGCTTATTAAATATTTTAACGCTGACATTTCGCTTTGATGGCTCGATAATATAAACTGAAATACATACACGTCACGATTTAAACGTGACAACGTGAGAATTCTATTGACGGTCTTTTTCGTTGTTTGATTTTTGGTACTTGCTTTATGTTGTCACGTAGTTTAAATTGAGCAGCTTTTCACTACACAAAATCGAAATGATAAATCAGAAATCAATTCAGTCTTTTGTTGAAAATTTATTTCATTTTATTCATAAAAATATTTTATTATACTATTTTTGTTACAAAATAAAAATAAATGTGTCTCAATCGTCAAATGAAAGATAATGAAATTTTAATGATAACAATTAATTGTTCTACAAATCAAGAATACCGATAAATTTAATTTGATTTATAATCATCTAAAAAGGGGACGTTACACTGGGATACCCACGGATTTTAAAGAGCTTTGGTATATTGGTAATCAATTTTTCTTTATTATTTGCGCAAGATGTTAAAAAATTTAGAAATATAAAAAAAATTTGAAAACAGATAGAAAAAAATTATTAAAAAAAAGGATCGGAACACTATCTAGCAGCACGAGAAGCGAGAACTCTACTACATACGCTAGCGTTACTTTTGATAAACAGTCGTATTTAAAATAATATAAACATGTATACAAAAGAATCAAAACTTTAAAAGCTTTTTTTTCAAAAATGGCTTCGCGTTAGGTTAAAACACTTTACCACGATAACACCCTAATAGTATACTACCAATATACCAAAACTCTTTTAAATCTGTGGGTATCCCAGTGTAAGGTCCCCTTGTAAAATGGCAAACATGAAAAGAACTAAATTAAAATGAAAAATAAAATAAAGTATAATAATTAGCTCGTATTTATAAATAATAAATATTTGTTAAGTTACAGAAAATAAAGTGATGCGTTTTGTGGACATAATACAGTCCGCTATCTGTATGGAGACGGGGGCGAATAGTAGGGTCGATGGGGTGGTTTCTGGGATTTTCAGTACGCGCGCAACCGCCGAGGCGAAAACACGCTCCTTGTGTTTATCCCCTGTAGTCCTTCTTAAGTTTGTGACTTTTAAATTCCATTAGACATGAATGACACTGAAATATAAATGGAATTTTCTTTTTTTTTGATCCAAAGAATAATCTGATTAAACTTAACACTTCCATGTTATAATTATGTTATAAACTTCCTTTGGTGAAACAAAACTAATAAAAAGTAGTTTATGTATAAACAAAAAAGTTCCGTCGTCAATAAAATTTTTTATCACGATTAGTGAACAGTGCCTACTGTATTACGACGGTATAAAATAAAAAAAATGTATCAAAGAATTAGGAAAAATTTTGAGAGATCATATAGAATAAAATTAGTGTTATCAATTTTTACCTTAGCATTATATTATAATATATGCAATCTACGGGGCATTTTTTGTGTATTATTTAATAAATAATCATTTTATTTTGATCGTTAATTATTACGCGAGAAATAGGATATTATTGATTACAATTTTATTATCATTCTTAAAAATTCATTCTCTGTTTTTCGTTATAGTAACATAATTTTAATCATTCGGAAGCCTGTCAGATTTTTTCATAACACATGATTCGGATCATGATTCACGTTCAATTAAATATATTATTAAATGCGATAAGTCTATTTCATTTGCACAATTCTTGAACGTCGATATCGTGATTAACGATCGATGAATGACATTCTCGTTGGGCCATCGTGCATCGTTGAAGAGGATTTTAATTATTACATCGAGTAAGTTACGAGATTTTTAATATTACAATATGTTGAAATACAAGTGAACATATGTATGTACTCTAGAAAAGTTTTACTATGAATGAGGGGAAGTTTTAGAAAAGTACTATTCGCGCGTTCAAACTCTCTCTCTCTCTTTCTCTCTCTTATTATAAGCAAAAATTAAAAACATATTTATATTTTGATGAAATTTGAAAGATACAAATTTTTCTTGTATCATATCGACAAAAGTTAGATTTGTCATATAGATATCTAATTATAAGAGTACCCTACTCCCAAGGAACATTTTCAACGATGAAAGAGTATTTGAAATATTAACAAATTCTGACGAAACAATAATAAACTTGTGTTTTTAAAAAAAAAAAAAAAAAAAAAAAAAGAAAAATCATCAGGATAAAATTGGATAAAATTTGTGAAATAATGTAGAAAAAGTCATATATAATCATACAATAAAAGCTGTTCGATGATGCATGGAAATCGATAAGCAATCAATTTAACAGCATTTCTAATTCGTGTCACACTTATTGTTTAAAATACCGAAATATTTTCAAATGAAAATCACTATTTAGATCACTTTACAGATAACGATGATTATTTTTACTTAGTTCATAGATTCATATTTCAAATAAAGAACAATGTATAATTAATAGTCGAAACACGGTAGACATTTCGTACTTGGCGAAAAGTGATGAAAAGGACAAAAAAAAATGTAGATTACCTAAACTCAATTGAATTTGGCATCATGTACTCTAGAATCCGCGTAGAATGTCCTAATTTATTATCACGGTAGTGCTACGTGGATACTTGAAAAAGGAACAGAGAGAAAGGGTGAAGGGAAAAAAGAGAGAAACTAGAGTACTGCAGAGAACAATTTAACATCGAACGAACACGAAATTAGATTTCTTATCAAAGTTGAAGCTAATTGATTAATTTATTATTATAAAAACAAATTTAAAAATGTATTCTGTAATGTCCAAATTTGTTTTTTTATTTCAGCTTACATAATGGGAAGGTGACATTTTTAAATAATGATACAGTTTTGTGATATCGTTGACTTTAATGGCCAAAGAACAAAAAATAGAATTCAGGAAAAAAACTTTCTTGATTGGTCGAAAGAACAAATGGGTATGAAAAACAAAAAATTTGTAGTCTAGACCACTTGCTATCCTATTACTACGTAACTCTTTAAATCTCGTTACCGCCGCTCTCTCTTATCATCCGGAGCCCGACCTACGTAACAACGAGCATTTTCTAATAATCGGAATCTTCTTCCTCCGCTAAGAACATTTTTTATCTTAAATATCGTAAGAAAGCGAAGATAGGTACTAGAAACAAAACGGATAAAAAAAAAAGGATAGCCGGATTCGAGTAAAATTAAACGTTGATCGTGTTCGAGACGATTAATTGTAGATGAGTATCGAGATGAATTTCGGTATAGACCAATTCTACAAAAGTAGAAGTTCTTTTCTTCGAATTAGTCGCACGCTCTTGGGAAACATTCGAAGAATAAATGAAAATTTATTGTGTATTTCTCGTTTCTTTATTTTTTATATTTTTTCTTTTACTTTTTTATTCCTCTTTCTCTTTCTCTTTCTCTCTCTCTTTTCTTCTTTGGAAAATCGTGGTATTACATTGCCTTATATTTTCGAGTCCGATGTTGTCGTCGACGAGTCCTTCGTATTCCAGCTCTTACTTTATTTCTTTGCAATTTAATTCCGTCGTTCTTATTCACTCCGCCTAGCTCGTCCTACGGAAAAAAGGGCTACCTTGTTAAGCGGCATAGCGTTATATTTCTTCCTTTTTTTTCCTATTCTATTCTTAGTCTAATCGACATGTTCTTTCAGTCTAGTTGCACACTCTAGGAATCAAGAAATTTCTGTCTTTCTTTCTTTCTTTCTTATTCACGAGCAAATTACCTTTTTTTTCTTTCTACAAAATTTGCTAATGTCATGTATGAATGAAAGACAGAAAGATCAAAGGATTAAGGGTCTGTCATATTCTCTCTCTCTCTCTCTCTCTTTTTTACCCTTTCCTTTTCATGAATTTTCAGCAAGTCAAAAGAAACGAGACCAATAATCTCATGGGTCATTTAATGAGAATATGGTAGAAGAAAAAAGATAAGAGTGATTATAAATATTTTATTATGTTGAGTATCATTATTATTATTATTATTATTATTATTATAGTATCATTTGATGCCTTCTAATAAAAAGTAACGACAAAAAATAAATATACCTGTTGAAGAAAAGAAAACAAAAAAAAAAGAGAGAAAAAAAAAAGAAAAAATGGACGAGAAGATTTTTGCTCTTGAGGTAAACTCGGAATTAATATTCCGGAAGGCCTTGTTAATGTTTCGCTAGTGTCGTTTACTCCCTGGCTGAAAATACATTAAGATTTTTCTCTTTTATCCGTAACATAAAGTTCGCTTAGGTGAATCGTTCGGAATACTTTTCATTCTACTTAAACGTTGAGTTAAGGAGAGATAATGTCGTAAAAGGATGAATAAAGAGGATAGATAAGAATTACCTTTTAGTTAGCAATTATCGTATTAAATCTAATCGAATTGCCGTTAGGTCGAAACGTTAATTTCATTTTGGAAGGATATAATTAAATGGATTTAAATAGTTGATTAAAAGATGGAAAAGTTAAAACATTTTCTTTCTACCTCTATTATTTCTTTTTATTTTCTTCACTTGAAAAGTGCCACTTTCATCGTTATTTTTATTTTCGTCAAGCACTTTTCTAAATCGACTCTCTCTCTCTCTCTCTCTCTCTCTCTTCTCCTCTGTTTAAGAAATTAAGGAAAATTTAGGTTGAAGATTAGTAAGATACGATACTGTTAGAAAAAGAAATACTGATGGAAAAAAGTACTCACTCGTCTATGACTCTATTCTTTCTTCCGAGATATTACTTCTGAATCTTTCTTTTTTTTTTTGTTCTTCCTCCAACTCATCACAATCCGTCTACTTCATAATCATCATGATCAAAAGGTCATGCGACTCGACTTCATTTTATTTTATGGAACATCTTTTCCTTGATTTCATTTAAACCTCTCATTCGTATGATTAATAATTTTTCATCATATAAAAATATAGAGAAAGTAATAAAAAAAGAAAAAGAAAAAAAAAAAGATATAGAGAGCTCATCAGGAGCCATAAAACCGAGACATTTCCTATGTGAAGTCGTGAAAATGAACTTATGTTGATTTTTCCTGTAGGTATTATCTACATACATATATGCCTAGCATTCCCTTCATTTTAAGCCTTGTCAAAACATTATATGCAACGAGTGGCCAGCCTTAATTACGTTGATGCTTACATGGAGAATAAATTTTTTTTTTTTTACTCGGTCAAAGAAACATCGCTGCCATCGTCTCATTTTCCATAGCTTAAAGCTCTCAAAGCACGTAGTTGAGCTCTCCTTCTTCTTTTTGTTCTTTTTCTGCTTCATCTAACTCAAATTGCTGCTTTTCTCTTGTAACTAGGAAGATCATTTTTAGGCAAGTTAGAATCTAGGACAATTTGCGTGATTTTAATTCCGACAATCTAAATCCATTTGAGATATTTTCTTTCTCTCTCTCTCTCTTTTTTTTCTACAAATATAAAATATACGTGCGAATTTCATCTGTTTTCACTCCATTAGAGATTGTATTAAGGTGAACGTACATTGAATCCGTAATGAGATTTAAGCACGAAATCTTATTCTCATCGGGAAATTCTTAACAGCACCGTAGAATCATTTCCAGCTTCTTATATGCAATAATTAAAGAATGAATAATATTACGAAATCGTTTTATGACATCATTGGATATTTAAATTTCTTGAATGTTTTTTATAATCTGTTCAAATACATACATCTGTGCGATCTTGTATAAATACTTATTCATCGATAGATCTAGTAAGTATAAAATGCAAAAGTAAAATGTATAAAATGAATAAAAGTAAAAAATGAGAAGAAGATAAATAATGTGTGTATGTGTGTGTGTTGAGACTGTAATTGTGATCTTGTTTACGTAGATAAACTCTTTATATTACGCTTCCTTTCACGATATCTGATTTTTCATTGATCTTTGAAAATCCATCGAATTAACGAAAGAGAGAAATAAATACTTGGAACGTTACAAATAAAAAGAGAGTTTGCATAAAACTTCATCGATTTTCTCCACATATCTACTTACGCGATACGTAAAGTTTCGTCAAAGTCTATTGTTGAGTTTTCTCAGCAAACTTATTCGAAAGCTTCTTTCAAATCCCATTATCGATAGTTTAACCTATTGCTTTTTTTTATTATTATTATTTTTACAAGACGAGTTTGAAATTGTAACTGTTATAGAATCGTGAACAGAAAACCGCTTACAGATTTTGATTCAATACTTATTAAATCTTGAATTATCGATCGTTGAGAAAAAAAATTATTTCGATACGAGGAAATCCATCATTCTCAGATTCCCAGTGTTCACTGGTTAAGCTATGTCGAAGTTCTTCTGAGCTTTACGAAACTAAACGAATAGTCCGTTGTCCGGGTTCGAGGTATTACGATCGTTGAGAAAAGGACCTTTCTTTTTATAGCATTATTTTCAAGTAAGTATGTCTTCGGAGTAGTTCCATAAGAATTCTGTTCTTAATCGAACAAAAATATTACATTTTATGTTAGAGGATTTTTAAAGTAGAACTTTCGTGAAATAAAATGTCAAATGTTGTTTCAATTTCTACCATTTATTCAAAAAAAAAAAAAAAAAAAGAAAAAAGAATTCATCTTGATTATTTCTATCTTCGTCTCACGTGATTAATCAATTTTACGATATCATTCGAAATATTTCGTAAGTTTATAATATATTACGTAAGCATGCGAATTTTTACTGATCTTGATAATGTATGAAAATAACTTTATCTGAGCGTGATAGTATCATGTGTTGACAGAATACTTAACTTTGATTATATTTGATAATGCTATCGATTAATTCGCGCGCTCATGGAAAAGGATATTAACAAAAGTTCATT